CTCAAGTTTGTAGATAGTCTAGTAGTAATCCTCAAGTTTGTAGATAGAATATGGGAAAATTCTTTTTTTTTTGCTTGTAAGATTCCAATGGTCCCGAACACTCGTCCTTGAGAGGTGGCTTTTGAGATGAGACGGAAACCGGCCGCTTCGCTTGCGGCCTTGACACGGAAACGGCCAGCGCAGAAGGTGGCATTTCTGCAGTCCCAAATGAGCATTCCATACTTCTAGTTCTACTAGTCCTTCACTTCACAGCCTAAACCCTAAAGCCTTTTCTTCAGTAATACAGTAAGCGGATTTTTACAGGACTCATCGCAAGCAGCTCCATGTGAGCCCCAACACTGAAGCAGGATGTGCGTCATCACTGAAGCCAAGAAGCTTGGCATCTTTGCAGACATCATGGACAAGGCTTGTCAGCTTGTTTTCACCTGCTTTCTCGGGGTGTTTTTCAGATTGGAGGTGGAAACCACCCGTGAAATCCATCAGGGTCAGGGATTCTCGGGGTGCGGTCACTATTTCTCAGCACGACACGTGGCAGTCGGGCCAACGAGTGGCAGTCGGAAGGGATTGAGACGGAAGCTTTCGTTTTTTTTGGGCTTTGAAACGGTTTTAACTTATTCTCTGGTGAAGACAAGGCCTTTTCTCTGCAACATTTGCAGTGTCGAAGGAATTGCATCTCTTTGGCTCAAAAGCAACCCGCGCTTCCCTAGCATGAAAGATCGTCCAAACAGCTCATAGTGGAGAGCGCCGCGCTAATTCGTCCAACGAGTTTCACAGATCATTCAGACCGGATCCTGTTGGCACTCGAACCACCAGCAAGACGGTCACTGGAAACCGCCGGAGTTTTCCCATGACATTGGACATGTTTGGGTGCACAAAGCCCTCAAAGAACAGAGAGTACGAGTGCGGACCTGAACTTTTGATTCCCAAGTCCTACATCTTTCATTTGGCAGTCGTTTGCATCCGCATGACCTGACCCTCTGCCTGCCTATCACCGCGTGTTCCGCGATGGGTGCCGGCTTCCTCAGTGAGTTGTGGATCGATGACTGCCATATTTTGCAGATCAGTTGGGGTGGTGCCAGAGGGGTTAATGGGGCGGCATATGTGTCTGGGTATATGGAGTGTCTAGGTATAGTCAGGAACCAGTTGTAGGCAGAACTATCCCTGCTAATCACCGGTTTTTGGACTATAGTAAGGAGTGGTCATAAGTCATTCGGGACCTTTTTGTGCCCCTTTGCCCGGATTTGGCCATGTCCTGGAGCCTATCTACGGTCCGCGGTGCTTCACGATTGATCACACCGATTTGCCAATCAAGTTGGTGCGCACGATTTTCTGCTTTCGCAGTGGTCCTACAAACACCTTCTGCGAACGTCAATCCATGCAGACCATAGGCTATGGAGAGGTGGAACGCCCGGGCGTTTTCGGGGAGTCTGCCAAGGTACTTCACGAAGCACATGCTTTGTCCCACGGGTCTGGGGACCCATCGCTTTGGAAGACTCGAGAGCACCACAGATGAGCAACTGCGCCGTGATTAGCAGGCAATTTGAAGTGTCTCTCAGATCTCTCAGATTCTGTCCGTCAGGAAGCAGCCATTTAGCGTGTTCAAATAAGTTCAACAAAGCAGCTTTCGGAGTATCTCTTGCATCCTGCAGTCCACTACAAAATATATGTATATATGTTTGAGACTTTGGTGTCAGCAGGGAACCTTCCCAATGGACACACACACACACAGTGACTCAAGACGTGTGTGTGTGTGTGTGTGTGTGTGTTCCAACTAAGGCTACATCGAGGCTGGACCCTGCGCAGATTTGCGACTTCCAGGTAGGTAGACATCGTTAGACCCACCCATGGGCCATTGCACGACACCCGCTTGGAAACTGCTTCGTTTAGCCCATGCGAAAGGGAAACGAGGCCGCTTTCTCTTGCGAAAGGACCAAACCTCGAACGACCAAGTTGATGTCGCAGCGGCATTCTCCCCATCCCTGCATGAACTCATCTGCCCGCTCTCGCTAGCGATGTGCCATGCTTTGACAGGGAATGAGGTGGGGAGATCCCGGGTTCGTGCTCGAGCCGCACGAATGAGGCGGTCCACAAGCCTGGGCACGGCAGATGGAAGAGGGCCTTGAGGTCGGGCTTTGCATGAAAGGAGAGGCCATTTTTATTGATCAAATGACCTTTTGACCTTTCTTTTGTCAATTGAATGCGTAGGTCCATTAGGTGAACAGCGGAATCTCAAATGAGCACTGCACCGTCAACAGATGAGCCTTGGACTCGTCGCATGTTCAGAGACTCTGTCAACGATGCCCAGGAAGCCAAAGTCGCACATCCTCATGGCCATAGTCCTGGTGAGGGACACCAAGGAACATGGAGGGTTTATCATCTCGCTCATTTTGGGCCCCAATTTGGGCCAAGCAAGTTCTTCTCATCGCTGTTTCTGCCTGCTTTTGGGGCCTGTTCCATCCCACTCGCAGGGCCCCGAACACCAAACCCCTCCCCTCCTCAGTCATTAGAAGCCGAGGCTTTCGAGCTAGAAGCTCCCAGGCAGGGTGGGGAGAGCTTGGAAAGGCGGATTCCATCCCTTCAAGGACTCGAAGGCTCATGAACTAGCATACTCTGTTCAACGAAGATCAACAGTTTTTTCAGGTTCTTGAGGCCCATTCCTGAATCGATTTGGCGCCGCTCCGAGAGAAACATGTGCTATTTTTTGGCATTTCCCGAATCAGGGCGTGATGGGGGCGGTCATGGGAGCGTGAGCCGAGCCCTGGCGGCCCTAATTCCTTGATTTTGACGCATCCCACCAGAGCGACCAGTCCTCGTCAGTCTTTTTTCGGCATCGGTGCGGGGTACCGGTGCCTTTCCTTTTTTTTCGCGTTCCAGAGCTGCTATCCCGCCTCTCTCGGGAGAACTCTATCACTTTTTGAGGTTTAGGCAACTTCAGGTCAAATGTTTGAGGTTGCTCTTCCTCAGCCAGGTGATGTCAGCATTGACCGACGTCAGCCAGGCAGAGTCGGGAACGGGAAGAGGGGGTGACCTTGGAGTCCGAGAAGTGAACCACAGGTCTTGTCAAAGCTTCACACATTTGTATGCCGGTTAGAACAGGTCGGAAGCGACATCGGGCCGTTGAAAGAAAGCTCTCGAGTTTTCGCGATGGTGACACCCAGAGTCAGGTGTTCTTGGTGCAGAATTGCAGAATTGTTCACAGTTCTTGACTCAATTTCCTCTACCAACAAGGACTTGGTTGTTC